CGCCAGGGATGGAATCCGGAGCGCTTCATAAAGCAGAATGAGGCCATCGAGGATCTCGCGACATTAAGGTAAATGCAGCCCCTTACTCCTCTCCTACGTGCATTGGCTCTCATGTCTCTGCACCCTCTGGACTGAAAGTTGAGGCATTTTTCTACAAGACTGAAGAGAAAGTACGCCACGCTGCATGACAGATGGATACCACCAATGCATCTGAGGTTGTATATTGACTTGCAGCAGTTTGGAGCTCAAATGGCCATGCTGAAGATCGACACTGGCTGCATACCGAAGAAGAGGACCAGCTTGCGTCGAACGCGTGGCTCAAGATACAGGAGAATGTCGCACTGCACCGCCGGAATTTATGAGGGAAAATGGGAAGAGGGGACCCATTTTCTGCCTATATTTTTTTCTTTTTTAGTCCATCCTGAGATTCATATTTCGGGCCACCTCACTCCCCTGACACTCCCCTGATCTCCTCACCGCCTTTCTCGCCGTGTTTGCCCCCATCCTTTGGTAGGTGGACCTCCACCGTTTGGCATCCTCAAACCGCTGAGCTGGAGAGCTTTTGGTGGCCCACTGGCGGGCACAACCTTCCTCTGAGTGACATGAGCCCGACGACCACTTGAATGGGTCAACAGGAGAGGCCTGGGACCATCCAAAAGCCTTCCTTCCCATTTCTCTGCCATCCGAGTCTATGGGCTCATCGAGAGTGTCATGTGAGGTCCCCCTGTGACAGCTGGAAGGTGCAACCGGGACGGCACGCTAGCCCAAGGTCCCTTCAAGTCCAGCTATGGGTCTGCGTTCCTTCCCTTGTCGTCCCTGGCTCGTTCAGCAGGCTTTTGTGTTCACCTGATGTTCATCAAGATACCTGAGTTCCTTTGTTTCGTGTGTATGGCAGGGCCCAAGTCCAGGTAGACCTTTCCGGTCGCCGATGCCCGTGTGGCGCTCCGAGTGGACTCTCTAATCTGGTGATGCGAAGGCTGAGAGGTTTTGCACAGGCTGATATCCGACCAGGGTAAGTAATTTCCCCTCTCGTCCTTTCTGCACGTTCCACCTAGGCTCATCTACGTCTGCTCCTTCTCCTGTTACGTTTTCATCGGTGTTGTGGAGGCACAGTGGAGCTACTGTCACCCTCTGGTGGCCTTAATCCCGCCTTATCGGGTAAGTAAGTCGTTCACTACCATAGGTACAGTGTGAGTGTCAGGTTGGCGGCCGTGAGGTACTATTCCTTCCCATTCCACTCCTTCTCGTGGTGGTCCCTTCCCCCTTCTCCCTCTCTGGCGACGTCACAGGGACGAGGAGCAACTAGCGTCGCGCTGTGCTGACCTCCGCCTGCAATTGCGAAGTGGTAGTCTGTACTCAATGCGGTGAGTATGCCTCGGTGCATGTGCGCATAGAGACATTCATTATATACACACACTCCAAGTCCAAACGTGCATTCATAGATATAGCATTCGTTCATTGCTTGGCATAAACTTCTTTCTCCTACTTCTTCTATTCTTTCATCAAAGAAAGCACAGGTAAGAGGGAAGCCATCTCAATCGCAATAGCTATTTTTTTCTTCACTCCCTTCAAGTTGACCTCTCCCAGAGTAAGATAAGAAGCCACCACCATGATATCTGATTGAAACGCTCCTGACGCTCCTTCTCATGAAGACACTTTGGAAAAGTAGTCCCTCCACAGATTGACGGATTCCCGGCAAGAATGACATGCTGCTGCAGGCATGGAGAGAGGACGATAGTGCAAAGTGAGATATGACAACTGCGTTCAGGTCTTCAATTTGCACCTTAGCTGCAATTACACAATAAGTAGTTTTAAGTAGATACATGAACGGGCGACGAAGTTCGTCTAAGCATCAGTTCGTATCAAGCAAGCAAAGGGGAACAATACATGCAAAGACAATTCCCAACGCTCGTTGACTACGAAAACATGTAATTACACAATATGCCTTCATA